CCCCCCCCCCCCCCCCACACACACACACACACATACGCACTGAATAAAAAGCTAAATGTTAAAAAATTCCCAGCTTTATGAGAACACTATTTGTCTTTGAAATCTATAAGACCGTTCACTCGTCCATCTGTTCAGTAGTCCATCACCATGTGGGCACTAGAAGCAATTCTGCTATTCTTGCTGTTATTTCTGTCTGTCTTTTTGCTCCTCCCCACCCCCACCAGCTCAAATTGACCTTTATTGTGTAGATGTGTTTCTCACTTGCTCAAACCGTTAGAAAAATTAAAGTACTGTCATTTGTACTCTTTAGGAATGTTGAACCAGGAGGAAGATGAAGAACTGGGAGTGCCGGCCCGACGGGGGAGCAACAGAAGTCTGTCCACGGATAGCCAGAACGCCGCCTCCGTCTCCACCCAGACCCCTCGTCTCACCTTCACGACAACCCCCAGCACAGTGCCAGGGACGTCGCCGGTCAAGATCACCATCAGTAAAAGTCCCCAGGGTCGACCAATCAGTGTTCAGTCCAGCTCTCAGCCTCCAAAAGTAAGGACTAGCCCTTGGACATTGAGCAATTTTCTGTACCATATTGCAGGCTTCCCTCGTTGTCCCAAATTGCCATGGACTGTCTAGGATTATGCAATTGGGAATTTGAGAGTCTTATTGCACACATCACACCACCATAACCAGTCTTATTTGGTGTAATTTTGTTTGTTGCGAAGTGATCTGGGGTGATAACATTGGGTTACCTGATCGAGTTCTGAAAAAGTTGTCAAGCCTGATATTGCAATCGACCTTTCGATTAAATGTCAAGCTCTTAATGTCTTTATTTAAAGTTTGAGGTTATCAGTCTTTGTGTCTAAATTTTCTTCTGCAGTTTATGAACTATTGTCTGAAGAGAGGAGCAAAAGACAGTAAACTAATATATAGATTCCAAACTTCTTTTAATGGTATATATTTGTTTGTGCATTGTCACTAAATGTAGATGTTATCAGATTTTCTTCCTGATGCATGAAATGTTTCCCTCAAAACTCTAGATAACTTAATTTGTGAAATTTTGGAGTGTCATTTTTATATTATTGGTGGCTTTCAAAGTTTCTTTTTTTTATCTTGGACCACTTTCCCCCCTCGACATTTGGTGGTCGTTGTGGGCAGGTTTGACTGTTCTTTTTATGTCCTGGAAATGTTTCAGGTTATTCTGGTGACCAGTGCTGGAGCAGCCTCGGGTACCACCGTCATTCAACGCTCGGTGTCGGTTCCAGTAGTGAAAACTCCGCCCACCTCCCTGACCACCCTCAGTGGGGGTCCGGGCCCCGCGCGACCCACGGTGCTGGGTACGGGGATTGCCTCCACGGCCCCGCCCACGCCCCATGCCGTGTCAAACTATTCTGCCGTGGTCACAACTACGAGCAGTGCTAGCCTTGTTTCCACTACTGGTGAGTACACTTAGTGTTGTAGCTGTCCCTCCATGGTTGGTCTTGGATTTTCTGGGGGGGGGGGGGGGGGGGTTGAGGCTTGGGGCAGATTACAGGCTTTCCTTGATTTCAAGACATATATTAAGGGTACTACCATTTTTCTATGGTGTGTTGGCTGGAGACTCACATATGACAGTAAGTCTCTATTTTGCATCATATGGGAACAGTTCGCGACATCAGTGCTTTCTTGTTGTGTCACCATTTTTATTAACATTGAAAATGTGACTTTTTCTTTAGCTCACTCTTTGTTATGAACTGTTTTCACTGCTATTAAAAATGGAGATGCGATGAGAAAGCACTGGGGTCGTGATTTTTAAAAATTAGAGACTTAGGGTTTTTGAAACTATAAAAATCACCATGAATACCTCAAAGGAGATCAGAATGTTAGCTGCCGAAAACAAATGAGAGTTATAAACTAGTGGTATACTTTATTTGTCTCTACTTTTGATTTCTTTTCTTTTAACCATGTTTGAGCATAAAATTCTGTGATAAATTCCTGCATGTGATGTGTGTATTATTTTCAGCTTTGCTTTTCTCTTCATATTGAATTTCTATGAAGTTAATACATAATTTGAATGCTATGTATATCTGCACGTTTTAACCATTCCTGTACAGCCAAAAAAAATTTTGTACTGGGACAATAAAGTTTCATCTTATCTTATCCTATCTTATCTTATACTTATTACATATTTCTCCAGATGCTCATTTTATCTGGGTATGATGTGTATCTGATAAACAAAAATAGCGATCCATGATTACTTGAGGAAGTCAGAAGTTGTTTTTGAACCATGGTTCTGTCTTTAAAAAATTGCAGCCTGACAAAGAGAACTCAGTTTTGGAAAATGAACAAGTCACCTATATTATCATAGTGTTGGGAAATAAAAGTCCTGAATTTTTTTAGGGGAAGGGAATAGTTATTTATTTTGCATTTATTTAGTTTTCATTTTTTGCTCTTTGGTTTCCTTTTCTTCAGTTACAATGCCTACCTCTGTCATTGGCTCTTCCTCCGCCATGTTCAGTCCGTCAGTGCAAATTGGACTGGGAAAAGTGAGACCAAGGATAGTGCCACGACAACGTTATCCTACCATGATTGTAAGTCTGATAGCCGTTTCTGTTTCTTTTTTTGGTCAATTTTTTGTAGTTGCTGTTTTTGTTCTCTCTTCTTTTTCTTCTTCTTTTCTTTTTTTTTTTGCTCTTCTTCCTCTTCCCCACTTCTCTTTCTTTGTTTTCTTCGTCAGTGTCCTCCTTGTCCTCTTCCGGTCTTCCCTTGTCAACGATCTCCTAGCATTTCACGCAATGGATTGCTCTGTGGAAGGAAAATTGACTTGTCGTACTGTACTACAAACAACAGAAATGTCATCTTAAAGCTGTTGACTGACAACATTTTTTTCCTTACTGACACGTGGGTGGTTGGAGGGCGCCACTGGTAGGTCCTATATGTTTACTTTCCCTGTGTTGTTTCTGTCTGTCCGTTTTACTTTTTCCCAGCACAAGATGACCATTATTGTGTCGATGTGCTCTCTTTACTCAAACAAACAAACAAACAAACAAACTTACTGACACAAATCGCATACCAGTTTATTTGTGGGTCTTTGTGAATAGCCACCTGGACTGCAGCCAGTTTGCTTCTTTCAGAGAATTAGCAGTACAGAAAGAAATGTTTATTCAGTCTAATGTGCTGGGGTTTTCAATTTTGTTTTTCCTGTTAGTCCTGTGTCCCCCTTTTTTGTGTGTCATTTGTCAATAAGATTGGTATGCTTAATTGGTTACCTGTAATTTTCAGTCTTAATTATATAAAGGTTTACGGAAAATTTTCCTTTTTGATCGTGTGTCCCATTTTCTTTGGTGCTTATTGTTAATGAAAATGTGAAGATTGCTTTGTGGGTGGTTGGCGGATGCTCTGGTGTGGTTTGCTTCCTCTTTCCTATAAAATATCTATCGTCTTTATTTCCCCTCCTTCTTTTTTCTGTTTGTTACTCTCTTGTAACTCCTCTAATCTTCGGCACTTATATGATCTTATTGTGTTGCAAGTGCCGTAAAACTCTTACTAAAACTAAACTAGAAGATTGCTTTACCAGAGTGATTTCTTATTTTGCACTCTGTTCAGAGTTTTCTACACACTTTGTTCTTCCCACTGCTGTAATTTATTGCCCCACATTGCTTCATGTTTTTGTGTTTGAGCGTACATAATCATTATCCCCTGGTCATGGCAAAAAGTCAAATATCTTACCTCTATATATTTTATTTCCAGCTCATATGGTGCCTGTTTTAAAATCTTTCTTTTTTTTTTTTTTTTTACTTTGCAGCAACTAAGATGAAAGATCATGATGTAGTGTAATGTAAAAGTTTTTAAAAAATTTAATATTTCCATCTTTGTATAGAATACTGAGGCATAAATCATTTTTGTACAGCTGTTCCCTCTGCATATTTGAAATATTTCATTCTCTCAAGACTACACCCCCCGGGGCAGTGCCACTGACTGTAGTGTCTTTAGGCCATTCCCAAAAGGGGGACATTTCTCGTTCAAGCACAGTAGCATTGTAAATGGGCTGATTCATCATGTCACGCTCATAACTGTGCCTGATCTACAACAAGGAACTGCTGCTTTTTCTTTCATAATCCTTACTATCGTCATTTTCCTCTACTTCTTTTATAAGTTTGTCACTCTCTTGTGACCTGCTATTTCCGGGGAGCCTTGATAGTCGAAGCAGACTTTGTGCTGTTGAAGCTAGAGAGGTGAGCAGAGTAAGACTGATTCCCTGTAAAGACTTCTCTGTTGACATCCACCCCTTGGTGCTCATATGACCTTATGCAGTTACGAGCACTGTAAAACCCTGTACTATACAAAAAAATTTCATGACTAGTGGGTGGTTGGCGGGTGCTCGGTTGTGGTTTGTTTCTTCTTTCCTATCAAACATCTATCGTACTTATCTCCCCTTCTTCTTTTTTATGTTTGTTACTCTCTTGTAACACCTCTAATCTTCTGGCGCTCATATGATCTTATGCAGTTGCGAGCGCCGTAAAACCTCTACTAAAACTAAAACTCTCATGACTACAGCCCCAGCAGAAGCCAGGGGTGGTCATCCCGATGGGCCCACAGCTGATGTCCCCGGCTCACAGCGTTAGCACAGCCTCCGGTCAAGTTGGTCAGCCCTCGGGGCACGCCTCCGCAGGCATCCAGATGAACCCGGCCCAGCAGAGCGGCAGCAGCAGTATACAGGTCAAGACCTTGAGCAAACCCACCATTCAGATCAAACAGGAAGGAGGTATGGAGGCATCTGTGCTGTGCTTGTGTTTGTTCTCTTACCGCCTCTTCTTGTGTGGAGCATCAGTGCTCCTGTGGGTGGTTGGCGGGTGCTCTGGTGTGGTTTGCTTCTTCTTTACTATCAAACATCTATCGTCCTTGTAACACCTCAAATCTTCTGGCGCTCATATGACCTTATGCAGTTGCGAGCGCCGTGAAACCCTCTACTAAAAAATTTTTTTAAAAAATCAATGCTCCTTTCTCAATCATTAACGCCACCACTCACAGGTTTTCAGGGACCAGTTTGGGTCCAAACTATGTTTTTTGGTGTGTTTTTTTTTAGAAACTTCCTTTGAAATTATGTGCTGAATCAAATGGAAGTCCTCCCAAAGCTCTATTTCAAAGAGATAACTCCATGAAGTTTACAACAGTATGGAGCCAATACAATGTTTTAAAGCGATTTTAAGATGTTTTTTCTCCTTTCCTCAATATGTTCATTTATCGGATTTAAAAGCTAAAAAGGCAAAAGCTATTCAAGATTAAAACATGAAATTTGGAGGGTGAGTGCACCATGCAATGTAATAAAATTACGCTAGCTTTTTCTAATTTAAAAAAAAAAAGTATTTTTAATGATTTTTTAAACTTTGTTATTTTGACTATTTTTGTCATTTGCTAATGACTACACGCAATACAGACTAGCAAGAAGGAACTGCAAAAGAGTTGTTAGAGCGTCAAAAAAATGAATCATGAGCAAAATATGGAGAACACCTAAGCGAACTGTGCTTTAAATCACCACGTCACTTTTACAGAAGTATAAAATTAATGAGGCTCAGAGAAGAACCGTACGACCCAACAGCTATAATTAATGACAAAACAGGAAACTCCATTACTGACAGCTCCAAAGTCAAATCTAGATGGAGAGAAATTTTTTCAGAACTTTGGAACACCACCCAAAAGCAAACGAAAAATTCCAACCAAGTCACCCAGAGGAAGAAGAACCAACTGTCCTACCATCAGAGGTCAGACAAGCAGTTAAAACCAGCCCAAAAACAGAAGCGCAGGAATAGACGAGCTCACCACGGAGACCATCGCAGCATGTTGTGAAACTGGAATAACTTGGCTCACAAAAATCTTCCAGATAGTATGGACAGAAAGAAAAGTTCCCGGCGATTGGCAAAAAGCGGTCATAGTACCAATCTGGAAGATGAAAGGCAGTAAGAGAGACTGTTGAATATTTAGAGGCATTTCACTGCTAAGCCATGTGGGCAAGATGTTCGCCAAGATATTGGAATGGCGAACAAGACACAAAGTTGAACCATTTCTGAGTTTGGCCCAAATGGGATTTAGAAAGGGAAAAGGATGCACCGTCGCAATATTTGTCCTATGACAAATGTGCGAAAGGGCGATAGAACACAACAGGGAACTAAACATAGTATTTGTCGACCAGGAGAATGCGTTCGACAGAGTGAACAGAAACAAGCTGTGGAAAGAACTTGAAAACTACACTGTAAGAGGCCAACTTCTAGATAACATCCGTGTCAGTTACGAGAACAGCATAAGTACAGTAAAAACGTCAGAGGGACTCAAAGAATGGTTCGAGATAACATCCAGAGTAAGACAGGGTTGTGCCCTATAACCACTACTATTTATCATATACATGGATAAAATTACAAAAGGGGCCAACACAGAACCAGAAGCCGTAAATGAATTACTCTTCGCTGACGACCAAAGCCTGACACACTTACTTTTTAAACTTCTTTATTTTTTAATTAACTTGAATGCTCATTTAACATAAGCTATGAATTGATATTACATGGGGTGATCTGCCTAGATTTTTTTTTTTTACCTTATCGTAAATTTTAAAAAAATTAATAAATTCTGATTTGGTTCAGAGGTGTTTGGATGCATTGTTTGTTACAGGAATGAAGATCATCACTCAGAGCGGCACCAGCAAGATATTGCCCAAGCCTCAGATATCTGGCAGCAGCGGAGGGACCCCCGTGGTCATGGTCAACACGGGCCAATCCACAGCTGGCTCTTCTGTCATGCCCCGCTCCATTTCTACATATACAGGTAGTGTAGCCTACGAGTGAGTTCTTATTAGGGGGTGGGGGTGAGGGGGGGGGGGGTGTTGTGCCTCTAGCAGACTTACATAATACTCAGAACAAGTCAAGCTTTGTAAACGAGTTTTTCTGCTTTTTGAAAGACCTGGATTGGTTCTGTGTAAAACAGGATTTTTTTTCTGGCTACCACAAGAGCACATGCAATTAGCTGTAAATGACGGGGGGGGGGGGGGGGGGGGGAGAATATGCACTGTTATGATGTGCTGTGCAAGAAATAATTATTTTTGTTTTCTCTTGGCTTCAGAATGCTTCAACATTAATTAATAAGTGGAGGTTCTTTACAGGCTTTTTTTTATTGTATTATTTATAACAGCTGATTCAAAGTGTGTTCTTAATCGGTTTGTTTCCCCTGGCAAAATAAATTTCACAAGTGGGTGGTTGGCGGGTGTTCCGGTGTGGTTTGCTTCTTCTTTCCTATCAAACATCTATCGTCTTTATCTCCCTTCTTCTTTTTTATGTTCGTTACTCTCTTGTAACACCTCTAATCTTCTGGCGCTCATATTATGACCTTATGCAGTTGCGAGCGCCTTAAAACCTCTACTAAAACTAAAAATTTAACCAAAAATTGGTATGAAATTTCTGTCCCCTGCAGCTCACTCTGGCGGCAAAGTTCTGAACATTACCACTCCGGGCGGTAGGGTCATCGCCACGACGACCAAGGCAACTAATGTGGTGACTGTCAACCCCAAGACCCTCCACCTCACCGCGGTCAAGTCTGGCTCAGGGAGCACCACTGGTATGTTGTTCTCTCGTCTATGCTTTCCCTTCTTTTGGCATGTTTTTTTAACTGGCTTTTTTTTCTTCTGTTGCTTAAACTTTGTAAGCAGTTGAGAAAGTTGAATCCCCTGCAGGTGGGGGGCGCCATAGTTTTACTATGGTGGAGCAAAGAACACACCTGCCGTGATACTGCGTGTCGTAAGAGGCGACTAAAAGTGCAAAGGACTGGTGGCCCGAAAAGTGCCAGTTTGCGGAGGGCCAACTACCCGACCCAGTAAAAAACAGTAAGTTACAGAAACACGGACAAACACAGCTTTTTATTTTTCGATCTTGGGAGACGGAGGAGCTTCTTCATCAGCAGGAACAATGAAGGACAGAAAAGTGGGAACACATGGAATAACATCAAGAGGCTAGCCCAGGATAGAGAAAGGTGGAAGGTGTTTGTCCGTAGCCTCTACCCTGATGCAGGGTGAGAAATGCAATGATGATGATGATGATAAAGTTGAGTTCTATCCCTTATTGTTTGTCATATGTTATTGTGTTGTGGACAGTCTCTGTCAATGCCTATGCTGTTCCAGTTTGTGGCTCTTACGTTATATATGATTACGTTATTCCCCCCCCCGGGCAGTGCCACTGACTGTAGTGTCTTTAGGCCATTCCCAAAAGGGGGGACATTTCTCGTTCAAGCACAGAAGAATTGTAAATGGGCTGATTCATGTCACGCTCATAACTGTGCCTGATCTACAACAGGGAACTGCTGCTTTTTCTTTCCTGATCCTTACTATTGTCATTTTCCTCTACTTCTTTTGTATGTTTGTTACATTCTTGTGACCTGCTAGTTCCGGGGTGCCTTGATAGTTGAAGCAGAACAGACCTTGTGCTGTTGAAGCTAGAGAGGTGAGCAGAGTAAGTCTGATTCCCTGTAAAGACTTCTCTGTTGACACCCACCCCTTGGCGCTCATATGACCTTATGCAGTTGCGAGCACCGTAAAACCCTCTACTATAATAAAAAGAGATTACGTTATAAAGCAGTAGAAATTTCCATCCCGATACTGTCAGGTTCAGGGCCCAGCGCAGAAGTGTTCGACCAACTTGACTGTCTCGGGCTCAGGGCTGAGTGAGTTAATGTTTTTTTCATTTCTTCTTTGTTTTACAGTGTCAAAACCAAATGTGATTGTGGTTCAAAAGACTCAGCATCCTCGTTTCCAGAACCCGATGGGGCATAGTACGCCTAATATCAGGACGCTGACAACCTCAAACCTTCCAGGAGCAATTGATAAGGTGACCGTGGCAACATGTCAATGAAACACAAAACGGAGATGATGAATTATGATGTTTCTTCTGTGATAATGTGTTTTGTTTCTCTTCTCCTTACATCATCTAGTCTACGTGGGTGGTTGGCGGGTGCTCTGGTGTGGTTTGCTCCTTCTTTCCTATCAAATTTCTTTCGTCCTTATCTTTCTTCCTTCTTTTTTTGTGTATGTTACTCTCTTCTAACACTTGATCTATTCTTCGGCACTTATATGACCTTATTGTGTTGCAAATGCTGTAAAACTCTTACTTTTAAACTCAATATTTGTGGGTGGTAGGCGGGTGCTCTGGTGTGGTTTGCTCCTTCTTTCCTATCAAACATCTACCGTTCTTCTCTCCCCTCCTTCTTTTTCGTGTCTGTTACTCTCTTGTAACACTTCTAATCTTCTGCACTTGTATGACCTTATTGTGTTGCAAGTGGGTAAAACTCTTACTAAAACTAAAAGTGTGTGTGGCGACATGCTGTTGTTATTGTGTTGAGCTGCCGTTAAATTAATTGACTACAATATCCTCAGTGCTATTACAATGTTCTCTGTTCTGAATGCCTTTTATTATTTTTTTGAAGTGCGCCTTTTGACTCGAGCAAACATTATCTGTTCCCTGTGGGTGGTTGGTGGGTGCTCTGGTGTGGTTTGCTTCTTCTTTCCTATCAAACATCTATCGTCCTTCTCTCCCCTCCTTCTTTTTCTTGTTTGTTACTCTCTTGTAACACCTCGAATCTTCGGCACTTATATGATCTTATTGTGTTGCAAGTGCCATAAAACTCTTACTAAAACTAAAACTTAGTGCTATTACAATGCCCGATATTTAAAAAAAATCACGCCCTTTGACTCAAGCAAACATTGTCTGTTCCCAAATTAGGAGCTGATGGGGCTGGTCCACAAGGACTCGCAGGGTCGACAAATTCTGACTGCCAGCCCGCAGACCATCGGTACGAGCAGCACGGGGCGGGCCGGGGAACGTCGAGTGATCATCACCACCAGCGGGGGAAGTGGGGAGGTGAAACAGGTTTGTCGTCTGCTTGTCTGTCTGTGTGTGTGCACGCTTGTGTGTATGTCGTCTGCTTGTCTGTCTATGTGTGAGCACGCTTGTGTGTATGTCGTCTGCTTGTCTGTCTGTGTGTGAGCACGCTTGTGTGTATGTTGTCTGCTTGTCTGTCTGTGTGTGAGTGAGTACGCTTGTGTGTATGTTGTCTGCTTGTCTGTCAGTGTGTGAGCATGCTTCTGTGTAGGTTGTCTGCTTGTCTGTCTGTGTGTGAGCACGCTTGTGTGTATGTTGTCTGCTTGTCTGTCTGTGTGTGAGTGAGTACGCTTGTGTGTATGTTGTCTGCTTGTCTGTCAGTATGGGAGCATGCTTCTGTGTAGGTTGTCTGCTTGTCTGTCTGTGTGTGAGCATGCTTGTGTGTATGTCGTCTGCTTGTGTGTCAGCTCGTGTGTTTGTGTGTGATTTTGATGGTATGAATGTATTTGGTCACAGATATGAGTATATTTGCGTTGCCTTTAGGAATTAGTTTATCTTTATGTCATAGGGAAAATTTCAACATGGGAAGATCCCTGAGTGGGCGGTTGGCAGGTTGTCTTGTGTTGTTTGCTTCTTCTTTTCTATCAAACATCTATATCATCTTTATATCCCCTACTTCTTTTTCGTGTTTGTTAGTCTCTTGTAACACCTCTATTCTTCGGCACTTACATGACCTTATTGTGTTGCAAGTGCTGTAAAACGCTTACTAAAACAAACGAAGATCCATGAAGTCACAACTTGCCCATGAGCTCTTTTACTCTTTTTTTTTGTGTTTATGACATTTATACTTTGTAATGATTGGGTGGTTGTTGAATTGGCATTTTTGAGGCTACGTAATATATTTTGCTTTTCTATGAAGATGCGTCTAATAGTGTGCTATTCTTAATCTCAGCATTTTTTGGGTTTTTTTGTTGTTGTTGTTGTTGACTTTTTTTAAAGAACTGGAAAAATGAACACTGCAGTTCTTTAGAAAATGTGAATGTGTTGTCTTTGAATTGTTGTATATCACCCAAAAGCTTAATGAAGGCATTTATTACCCAGCCTGTGTCCATCATCCATCGTGGTCGAGCAGATAGTGAGGGGAAATCGTCCTTGCTGGCTGAACTGATTCAGGCGGCCGGTATAATGCCTTCTGATGCGGCTGTGGAGACTACAGGTAATGTAACGTATGGTTTAGAAAAGTATTTGGTACATAAGCTTGTGCGAAAAGTTTATGAGAGATAAGACAGTTTTTGTAATGTATGGTTTAGAAAAGTATTTGGTACATAAGCTAGTGAGAAAAGTTTGTGAGAGATAGACAGTTTTTGTAATGTATGGTTTAGAAAAGTATTTGGTACATAAGCTTGTGTGAAAAGTTTATGAGAGATAAGACAGTTTTTGTAATGTATGGTTTAGAAAAGTATTTGGTACATAAGCTAGTGGGAAAAGTTTATGAGGGATAAGACAGTTTTGGTCCTGTTAAGTCATAAACTCTGAAGACAGTGAGGGTAATGGCTAATCTAACTTGCTCCCTGTCTATAATTGCAAGCCACCTATAAAACTAATTTTTGTTACATATTTTCCAGAAGATCTCAGAGTGGTGGGGGGGGGGGGGGGGGGGGGGGGCAGAGAAATTTGTGTGTGAATAGCTCTTAAACATGATTGTAGTGTCTCTGGCTTGTACCTTTTCCAAAGCTTCTCTTCATTTGAAAATTCTGTTTTCCCAGAATTTTTTCAGCTTTATGTTTATGCTGGCAGGTCTGCTGGGGTAATTAATATAGATTGTGAAGCGCATAGAGCTTGCTGTTGAGCGGGGATTTGTGCTATACAAATGCTATCTATTATTATTATTATTATCATATTATTGGATTATTTTACCCGAACGGACAGCAGGGGAAGTTCTGTTTTTTGATCCCTTTCAGTGAACAATATCTTTAAAGAGCACAATATTTGTGTGAAGTCCCATATTTTTCTTTCCTGGCTGAAAAGTGCCTGGCTCTACTTAAACTCCTGAAGTTAACCCTATCCGTACATCGTGTTTTACCATCGTATCCATAATTTGTGCCACCACTTTCCAAAGAGGAAATTTACTCGTTAATCCGATCTGTACGCTTTGCATAGCAGTCTGTCAAAATGATTTTTTGAGAAATACTGAAAGTTTCAAAGAAATCTTCGCACTAGAAGTATCCTAAAATGTGAAGAACACAACCCTTGGGGTACAAAATGACCCCAGGGCGTACGGATACGGTTATAAGATGAAATATGCTCGTCTGGTATATGACCGCCTTGCGCAATGACAACTTAGCACTTACAAAAGGCTGTATGCTCTCTTTTTTTACCTATTGCACCATCAGCACAAGGCACAGACCCGTACGAATTCGATCACCAAGAAAGTCTTCCGCAGCCCCCGTCTGTCTCGGTAGCAACAGTAGCAGCAGCAACAGCAACAGCAGCACCTGTCCCTCCCAGTCGGCAGATAGTGCAGCCCCGCATTGTACAGCATCTCCCCCAGCAGCAAGCTCTCCCTCCTGCCGTCCAGCCAGAGAGAGTCGGGGATTCGGTGGACGGAGAAGTGGAACAAAACGTCGTCAGCTTCTCCGTCACTGCCGAGGAGCACAGGTCAGTCATCTTGTCAAAAATTATTGAATTTTCTAAAAGTTTTTTTTTGTTTGTGTTAACCGTTGTGAATTTTTATTTTTCAATACCTTTGGGAGGGGCATGCTAAGCAGTTCTTGTACATTCTAATTGTGACAGGTATTTTCAAGTCATTTTCTTACAATTGGACGGCTCAGCACAAGGACTTTGCCTTAACCCCCCCAACCCACACACACACGCACACCACCCCTCACTCCCTCCTAAAGCAAATTAAAATAAAATAAATAATGAAGTTATATTCTAATACTGCATGTTCTGTGTTTTGCACATTAGAAAGGTAAAGAGAACACCCAAGTGGAAGTGCCTTTTTTTCCCCTTTGATTTATTGATCATTTATTGTCTCAACTGCAAGAATGTTGTTCTTGTCACATTTTCATTAAATTCTTTGCTACAACTGAGTTTCTTTCTCCCGTTTGTTATATCTAGGGTAAACCAAGACAGAGATACTCAAGCAGAAAAAGTTCTGATGTTGGGTAAGTTGTGTTCACAAGAGCATAATCCTTGAAGAACTGTGGTCATTCATCTGCGTGGTAGAAGAAGTTGTGTAAACCTCTCTACATTTTGTTTATCCTCCTGATATTTATGCCTATCGTCTTGCCTTCTCTCAGTGTTGTTTTGTGCTCATCTGTTAATCTAGTTGCCATGCCAAACTTTCTCTTTCCCGTTTATTGAAGAGGGGAGTTTACATTCACAGTTAGCGACCCTTTGTTTTGTTTCGTGTGTTGAAGTGCAACATAAGCGAATAGGTTTTTATTCTCTTCTCAACGAGGCGTGGTTGATGGGTGCCACTGATTAGTCCCAATTATCTTCAATCCCTGTGCCATTTCTGTCAGTGTGGGTATTGGCGGGTGCTCTGATGTGGTTTGATTCTTCTTTCCTATCAAACATCAGTCGTCTTTATCTCCCCTCCTTCTTTTTCGTATTTGTTACTCTCTTGTACACCTTTAATCTTTGGCACTTATGTGACATTACAGTGTTGCAAGTGCCATTAAACACTTACTAAAAATAAAAAATTTCTGTCAATCTTCTTTGTCTCAGTACTAAATGACCATTCTTGTGTAAATGAGTGATGTGCCTCTCAGACAAGAAATGAATTATTCCGATACTAGTCTCTGGATGACTGTGACATGTTTGTTTCTTTATTTGTCGGTGTTCGAAATGGATCTGTTATAAACTGGAATGCCTAATTGATTGTACTGTTTCTACCTCATGTCATTTGTATGCCATGTGTTGTGTGTATGCCACATTTTACTGAAGATCCATTATGTTTTGAAAATCTTGAAGATTTGGGTAGTAAAAATGGTGCCAAAACACAAGCATAAGTATGAGCGCAAATGTTAATCGTTATCCTCACCATCATGAGCATTGTTGTCAGTGTCATCATCATCATCATTGGTTTCCTCTTCTTCACCATCATAATTGTCTTCATCAGCATCATCATCATCATTGTTGAAAAATGAAATGAAATTTGGGGGTCTTGAGAAAGGTTTAAAGGCACAAAAGATAAGTTCAGTATGTCAGGTTGTTTTTGTTCTTTTTAAATAATGATAAATCTTTTTTTTTTTTGTTCCTGCTTTTCTGAATTAATTGTTGATGAAATTGTGAAGAAAAAAATCTTTCCCAAAAATGTGCTTGGTAATGATGGTGGGGTTGGGGGGGAATACCACAATGTTTTTGCAGCCACCGTAGCTTATCGTGTTGAAGATTTCTGAATGGTTGCTTCTTTTCCCTGGCAGAGCAAACCATGTCCTTGTTGAACAAAGAGTATGTGGATATTGCCGAGGAGCCTGAAGCCATCCATGTCAGTGTGTCGTCGTCCAGCTCCGTCAGTTCCTCCACCTTGTTGCCCACCGTCGTGTCGGCCACACCGGTCGCTGCTGCCCCCGTGGCTCCCTCTCTTGGACAGCCCAAGGTACTAGAGTCTCATGTTGGTTGATTTGGTTTAAAAAATTTTTTTTTTATATAGATAAATGTTATACACGGGTAGTTGGTGGGTGCTCTGGTGTGGTTTGCTTCTTCTTTCCTATTAAACATCTATTGTTTTTGTTTTCCCTTCTTCTTTTTTGTGTTTGTTACTCTCTTGTAACACCTCTAATCTTTGGCACTTATATGACCTTATTGTGTTGCAAGTGCCGTAGAACTCTTACTAAAACTAAATAAATGTTATGCTGAAAGTTAATTAGCTCTTTATCTCCGTGGGGGGTGAACCCACTATGCCGGGCCCCTTCTTTGGTACTAAATCTAAAAAAGACTAAAACGTCACTAAATTGGTCATTAAGTCAAAACAAGTGATAGTTCGTCATCTAATCATTGAAATCAAGATAAAAGAAACCTGTTTACGGCAATTGCTAAAAAGTAATTTGATGTTGAAATCGTTGTAAAGGAGTCCGCCCGAGTCGCTGTCAGCGGCTCACCGGCACAGGGGTTCCGACCGTGAGCCGTTGGGAGTGGCTTGCCAGAGATAAAGAGTTAATGTACAGTAGAACCTGCTGTAATCGCCGTCAGGATAAGACAATTACCTGTACAAACTGCCTATCCGCATTTCCTCCCTTGCATATTTTTAGCATTATAATGACACAATGCAAGATGGCCACTTGTTAAAGACAGACACTTTTCTCCTTGTCAGTGGATGGCGTTCATATATATATATATATATATATATATATATATATATATATATATATATATATATATATATATATATATATATATATATATGTGTATATATATATATATATATGTTTATATATATATATGTGTGTGTGTGTGTGTGTGTGTGTGTGTGTGTGTGTGTGTGTGTGTGTGTGTGTGTGTGTGTGTATTGAAGTAGTGAATAGCTTTTTATTGTTTGACAGTGTTGGTGCTTGTATGTCATCATTTTTCTAATATTATGGTTTGTACTTATTTTTACTTGTACTTTTTGCATCTTCTGTTGCTTTCCTGTGTTGAGAGGAGATGTAGCCTCGGCTTGATTATGAAATGTAGACAGGACTCAATGGCAACAGTTGTTCTTACATCTTCACTTTTCTGCCTGTCTCTTCTTGAGATGTCTAGGGTTTTGCAGAGACATTTCAACGATATGGCTTTTATATGTCAGAATTTTCTATTCAGTTGTGCCTACCCTTAACACAGAAGTTAAGGTAATGTAGAGGCTGTCTTGCACCCATGGTCACTTGTGCAGGTATGACAACACTTTAACGGTAACGGTGATAAGATTATGTGTCGTATCAGAACCTTCAGTGTCTACCTTTGACCCCCCCACCCCCCCCCCACCGGGTGGTGCCACTGACTGAAGTGTCTTTAGGCCATTCCCAAAGGGGGAACATTAACATCTCGAGTTCTTATGCACAGTAGAATTGTAATTGTAAATGGGCTGATTCATCAATGTCATGCTCATAACTGTGCCTGACCTGCAACAGGGAACTGCTGCTTTTTCTTTCCTAATCCTTACTATCGTCATTTTTTTCCTCTACTCTTGTGACCCGCTATTTCCGGGGTGCCTTGATAGTCGAAGCAGACTTTGTGCTGTTGAAGCTAAAGAGGTGAGCAGAGTAAGTCTGATTCCCTGTAAGGACTTCTCTTTTGACATCCACCCCTTGGCGCTCATATGACCTTATGCAGTTGCGAGCGCCGTAAAACCTCAACTAAAACAAAAACATGTTGGAACGTTTTCCTGCAGGTGAGCATTTTGTCAGCCGCTCCCAAAGCCAATCCAGAACCGGTGAAAGGCCCCACCAGACTTCCTGCCTCTGACGGCGATACAGTGAAACCAGATGTTGTGCCTGGTGAGTTATAGCTGTTGGTTTTGAAAATTTGAAGAGATTGTTGTTGTTGATCTGCAATAAGTCATTGAGGCAAAGTTGTTGTTTTCTGAAATTTATCATTCCTGTTGTTGTGATTTTTTGCTAGATTGTATTTGTTCTGAGAGTTTAGAATGCAGTTGATTATTATCTCACTTTAGCAATATGCTGAATAAAATTTATGTAGAGAGTTTTAATACTGTTGATCATGGACAATGAAGAGAGAGAGAGAGACAGAGTGAGAGAGAGAGAGAGAAAGAGAGAGATGTATTTTTAGACACTTTGTTGTTGAAAATACAATATTAATTTCATTCTCAGGTCACAATTAGGCTTATGGTATCTAATCTTGTCCTTCTGTTTTGTGTTTCCCTTTTGTGGATGTCCCAGAGGAGGGTCTGAAGGAAGGCCAGCTGGACACTCAGACGGGCCTGTTCTACCAGGTCGGGCAGCCCAGGGAAGGCGCAGTGAAGACGCAGGTCTCCTCCCTCTCGCTACACGCAGCGGTGACCGTCTCCGCTCCGCACCTGCAGCCCACCGCGGTGCTGCCCATGCCCCCCGTGACTACTGCGATGGTCGTGGCGGGGACGAGCCAGCCCCCGCTGGTTTTAGCCTCGCTGTCCAACGTCTCCTCCTCGTCCCAGCCCCCTTTGGATTTGCTCAGCAGTTCCCTCGCTGAAGCCCAGATCGACTTGGACCCGTTCAGTGAAGACAACAGGTGAGCTGGCCGGGCTTTAACGGAAGGCAATGAAAACTGTGTTGAGGCCGTGATGTGGAACCTCTTTCGATGACATTTCAAACTGTTCTTGGTTTCAGAATGAGTACTTGGTAGAATTGAAGGCAAAATGGGAACGTTAAGGGGGGCACCTTTCATTTTCTTGAAACTGGGAGAATGCGATGAAGTGGAATTTTATTTACTGAGGGTGTGGGTGGGGTGGGGGGATGTCAAGATTTCTCATGGTAACGGATTTGATATTTGTTGTTGAAAATAACCATTTTAACAAAAGATTGAGTCTCGAAACAGTGAGCTTTTAGTACATCAGTGTAATGGTTTACTGCCTTGGATGGGAGGAAGTTTCAAAAATTGAGAAAAATGCTAATTTCTTAACTGACACTGGAAAAGTCGCTTCAGAGCCTATTAACCCTGATGGCCCCGGGCCGAGGAGCTAGGACAGGCTGCTGGGTAACATAGCAATAATAAATAACTTTTACGCTGCACATTTCCGTTTTCTATAAAATACTCAATACGCATTACATGAAAAAAGACATCACATCTGAAAAATTAATCGACATGTGTGTACGTAAAACACAGTATTATGTATGTATATATGTATATGTGTATATGTATAAGAACATTCTAAACATCAACTAAACGGCACAGACTCTGGCAAAAAGTGACACTGCGGGCAGAAAGTCAGAAAAGAACTTTTGAAGTTTGTGATATTATTGCACTCCAACAATAAAATTTGTGTTGTTGTGAAGCAGATTTTTGTTGAGTAACTTGTATCTGTAATCGTGGATAGAATGCCTTTATGGCGACATGTGTCAGTTACTTTGCTGTTTCACCACACCACCCCCCATCTGAGCACAAGACTGCTTCTGATTCTCTCCCCCAGTAACTCCAGTACGTCTGTGATTGAGAGTCAAGGCCAACTGTCTGGGTCAAGTGCAGGTCACATTGGCGGAGAGACTGCGGTGAACTCTCGCCCAGGCATGGCGGAAGTGCTGAGGGAAGAGACAGGTACAGACTGACTGTTAATTAAAAAAAAAATTTAGTAGAGGTTTTACGGCGCTCGCAACTGTATAAGGTCATATGAGTGCCAAGGACTGACTGTGTTGTGCCCTTGTCTTCCAGATATGATTGAAAATGTTCCAGTTATGCCTAACTGCATTAACAAATTAATCAAAACAGTTATGTCACATATTGTATTTAATCTTATGGATATTCTTCAGTCTCCACAACGTCATCCTTTTTAGTCTTGAAAGGCTTGAGCAATTTCCTCATCATGGCTTTCACCTTGGTAAAATTTGTGCAAAACACCTGTGATGTCTCTTTTTCATCGTTTGAATGTACTTTGACTATTTGCATCATTGGATCAGATCACTTGCACAAGCACCTCCTTGGTGATAGCTGATCATTAGTTTGCAGAAAACCTCTATTATAGAGCTGATGTTTGGAGCTGCAACCTAGATATTACGTAATGATAGTGTATAAATACCTGTCTGATCAGAAGCATGGGAAGCGTGCCTGATCACATTTGGTCGCTTTTAAGCTCAAGGGGGCTATCCCGAGAAATGTTGTTTTGAGAAAATCGAAGTTTAAGTTTTTGGATCCTTGTTAAGTTTTTTAAAAATATAAGGAGCGTTTTCCCTATAACCAAACATATAAACACACCAATAATACCAACGTTCTCCTACAGGTAGGGCAATGCCGACTTTTGATGTAGGTCAAATTTCTGGAAAACCCCGAAATCTGGGTTAGCCCGCTTGTCCTTAAAAGCGACCATTTATGTGGCTGACCAATCTGACTAATCGTCCAACTATGCAAACTAATCTGTGATCAACACTAGAAGCTTAAGGTTACTTTTCACAGCACAATTTTTACTGACATTGTGTCTTGATTCATTCAAATGTCAGCTGAAGTTGTTTCTGTTTTTGAATTAATAAGAGGAATATTTGGAGTGATTTTCTTTTAGTCAGAACACGTTTTATGTTACTGTTGTACGTTGTACTGTATTGTAAAGCGCTCAGAGCCTGTGTACTTTAATCGAAGTTGAGCGCTATATAAATGTCATTTATTATTATTTATTATTATTGATGGGAAGTGCTTAATCATGTCAACTAAAGATTGATGACCAGTGGAGCTTTGATAGCTGTATACTGCTGTCTCCTTGGTTTTATGCACCTTGCATAATTTAGCAAAATTTGTTATGCATAATTTCTGATTATTTTCCTTCATCATTAACAGAATCGCATGCTTTCACATTTTTGGGCTCATTTTGCATAATTCCAGATAAAACGAAGGGGACAGATACTGGCAAAGAGGTGTTGTCCACCCAAAGTCCAGTCTGCTGAGATTACCAAATTTCACTCAGACCATGATTACACCCTCTTTTACTCTGGGATTTGCCACCTGGAAAAAAAATGTCCTTCATTATGAAATTAATGCACACTGCACCAGGAGCTCATACAACGTGGGTTTTCTGTAGGACTTAAAATCTCCCTTGTCCTTTTCACACAGTGGTGAGCAGAGATGTGGGTGGTTGGCGGGTTTTTTTTGTGTCCTCTGCTCCTTCCTTCTTTCCTTTGAGAAATCTACCGTCTTTATCTTTCCTATTTCTCTTTTAAGTTTGTTATTCTCTTGTAACATCTCTAATCTTGGGCACCTATGTGAGGCAATTGCATTGCAATTCCCGTAAACTTACTAAATGGGTGGTTGGCGGGTGTTTTGGTGTGGTTTGCTTCTTCTTTCCTATCAAACATCTATCATCCTTATCTCCCCTTTTTCTTTTTTATGTTTGTTACTCTCCTGTAACACCTCTAATCTTCTGGCGCTCATATGACCTTATGCAAGTTGCGAGCTCCGTAAAACCTCTACTAAAACTAACTTTTAAAAAACTTACTAAAACAAATAAAACAGAGAATCAGCAGAGATGCTTGTTGTTCTTTCCCCCCAGCCAAAGACGGGACTCGGATCCTCACGGTGTCCAACCCCGCCTCGTCCCAACAGGAAGTGGCGGTGGCCCCTCACGGCAGCAGCCAGCTGGTGTCCCTGCCCTCCCAGCTGACGCGCTCCACGTCCCTGCCCTCCACACACAGCTCCACCTCCCCCTCCCCGTCACAGTCCACCGCCTCCTCCATGTTCATTCCTGTGCAGGACGTGGCTCGGCCGGCGGTCAAGACCAACGCCAGTGTCAGTATCATCCCTCATGTTCCAGTGAGTGAAGCTGAATTATTTCTCCGTTGGTATTAATATGAATTTGTGGCCCCAAAGACCTGGGAAATTCGCGCTAGTCATCATCTCATTTCACCCTCCCGAAAAAAATTCGTTCACAAGCCGAAAATAATGCGTAGCGAATGAGTTCAGAGGATTCCATAGTATTTCACAGTTGTGTGGTTAACAGTAACCATAGAACAAATAATTTTAAACTTTGTCTAAGTTTCAAATCTGAAACTGCGATGAATTGAGTCTTCTTAGAAAAAAAATAGTTTTGCAAGGGAACATTAATTTTCATTTTCAAACATGATTGTTGAGATGACTTAATATTCTAATCATTTTGAACGGGTTTTATGAAATTTACTTAAGAAAATCAGTACCTGTGAAAATGCTACAAAGCAAGAAAGTGTACTTGGAAAATAATGTTTGCAGTTGCCTGTTTGGACTTTACTGTACTTTTACTTTACTTTTCTGATCCAGCGGCCATTTGGGTTCTAGCCCTTTGGCATGTTAGGACATAGCTGTCACTTTTTTATATGTATTACTTCTCTACATGCATCCTCAAAAATGGTTTTATTTTTTTTATTGTTTTCAATAACTTATTATATGTGTGTTGTTTTTGTTCAGTACATGTTTTTTTGTTGTTGGGGGGGGGGGGGGGGTCTTTTTGAGAAGTGTTAACTCTGTCCTCTGTAACCTGTCTGTGCAGCAGCAACAACAACAACAGCCTTTGCCGAGTCTGAAGCCCATTCCACAACCCAGCGTGATGCCCATCGCAGTCAGCGTGGAGCCATCGCCGTCCGTCATCACCTTCAAACTGGACGATCTCACGGGGCAGAGGATTAGCGGAGGAGAACAGGTCAAGAGTTTTTTTTTCTTTTGTGATTATAATTTACATCGTAGGGTGCGGTGGTGGAGCGGTTGGTGCGCTCGTCTCCAGAGCGGAAAGTCCGGGTTCGAGCCTCGGTTCGGACACTAATTTTTTTCGCCCCCCCCCCCCCCTCCTGCCCACCCAGCAGTAATGGGTATCTGATTTCGAGTTAGGGAAGTTAAGGCGGCATGGAAAAGAACTAGCCACCCTACCACAATATGCCGAAGGCCCAGGAAGTTGTCTCACTAACAAGGCAATCCCCAGTGTCTGGATCGGGTGCGGGAACAACTTTACTTTTATAATTTACATCATTTGGAAACAACAGCATTTCCTGTCACAATGGTGAAAATAGAAACCATCGTAGTATTAAGTGGAAAAAAGGCATATTTTCAGAGTGTTGTTTTCCCCTCAGTCTTTACAATGGTTGCAAAAGCTGTGTCCATGTCTTTTATACATTTCTTCATTTACACGTAGATCTGGTTGACTTAAGTTCAATGTTGAAATAGGCACTGTGGTATTCTTAAGTAGCATGTGATATTAATTCAGTGGCATCTAGGAATGAATGAAAAAAAAAATATGACGTGTTACACTGCTGTTTCAGTGTTATGCTTCAACTGCTGCTCGCTTGATTTTGCTTTGTGTGCCAATCTCTTGATTGATGATAATTATAATCACATTTAAATTGATCGATAATTTTTCCATTTCTCTTTCTGTCTGCGATGTAGGACAATGAGGAACTGGAGACCAGCATGAGTATTCGAGTGGCTGACGTGGAGTCCCTGGACTCGCTAGCTTCCCTCACGGACTCTGTGACCTCTGGCCACACAGAGGAGTTTGCTGGCTCAGGGGGTGAGTTTTGAGGAATTATGATGATAGTAATAATAATAGTAATAATAATAATAATAATAATAATAATAATAATAACATTAATAATGATAATAATGATATTGATAATAATAATAAACAACATTTATATAGCCCTTAGCCCTGGTTAAAGTACACAGGCTCTGAGTGCTTTACAATACAATGCAATGCAGCAGTAACATAAAATGTTAAGTTCTGACCAAAAGGAAATCTCTCTTAGTATTCATCTTGTCTCTCACGTGTCACTTGCACAGGGATGGTTAGTCTCCTGATTTTTTCTAAAGAAAACCATGTTTTGTTTGAATGGAAATTTGGGGGCAGACTTTGTGCTGTTGAAGCTAGAGAGGTGAGCAGAGTACGTCTGATTCCCTGTAAAGACTTCTCTGTTGACACCCACCCCTTGGCACTCCTATGACCTTATGCAGTTGCGAGCGCCGTAAAACCTCTACTAGAACAAAATTCATATGACCTTATGCAGTTGTGAGCGCCGTATAACCTCTACTAAAACAAAAATCATATAACCTTATGCAGTTGCAAGCGCCGAAAAACCTCAACTAAAACTAAAACAAAACTCTCTGTTTTTGTCCAGGAGCTGCTGCGGCCAGTGTGGACTCCCACTCCAGCGACAGTCAGATGTCCTCAGACCCGGCCAGCCTAGTGCGCAGCAGCAAGAGGAAGCGCAAAAACCCCCTGGGATTGGACGACCCGGGGCCGGCCACTCCGGGCAGCTGGATACGGACAGCGTCCAGGTGAGAGAGGGAGAGGGAGGGTGAACAAGAGAGAGAGGGAGGAAAGCAGGGAGAAAAAACAAAGGGGGAGGGAGGAAAGGAGGGAGGGAGAGAGAACAAGGGAGAGTGAGGAAAGGAGGGAAAGTGATAGAGAGGGGGAGGGGGGGAAGGAGGGAGAGAGAGAGAACAAGGGGGGAGGGAGGGAGAGTGAGAGAGAGAGAGAGGGGGAGAGAACAAAGGGTGCCTAGTGCGCAGCAGCAAGAGGAAGCGCAAGAACCCCCTGGGATTGGACGACCCGGGACCGGCCACTCCGGGCAGCTGGATACGGACTGCGTCCAGGTGAGAGAGGGAGAGGGAGGGAGAGGGAGGGAGAGAGAACAAGGGGGGAGGGAGGGAAGGAGGGAGAGTGAGAGAGAGAGGGAGGGAGGGAATGGGGGAGGGAGGAAAGGAGGGAGGGGGAGAGGACAAGGGAAGGAGGGAGAGAGAGAGGGAGGGAAGGAGAGAGAGAGAGGGAGGGAGGGAAGGAGTTAGGGTGGGAGAGAGAGACAGACAAGGAGGGAGGGAGAGAGACAGAGAGGGAGACAGAGAGAGAGAGAGACTTGTTTCTTAAGTCGTTGTGCTTTTTCAGTCGTTGTGAGTATTCTAAGGTGGATACTGTGCACTTTTCAACTTTGAATATATGGAGGTTTATGGGAGCCCACCATGTGTGGATGAAAGGAATGAAATGTGGAATGGAATTCCCAGTGTCTTTTGGTAACAGGAGACAATAAGTAATACTAATACCTTTTGTGCACTGACGTCCTTGAGAAGAGTTGAATTACATTTTTCCGAAGAACAGTATTTTATTGAAATGAGCTTAGCCTGATAAAATTAGTAGAAATAGTATTAGTATGAAAGAAAAAAAAAGATGCCTTTTTTATCAATATCCAATATTTTAAAGAAATTATCATTTATTCAGTGTGAGGATCCCTGGACGTGAACATTTTGCTCACTGACTTCATTTTTATCTCATTTCAGTTTGCTGATGAAGATCTCCAGATTTAAGGGATCTCCAAGAGATAGAACGGAAATACCAGCGGCCGAATGGTTTACCTTTCCAGGTGCTCTAGGCTACTCTGTTTTGAAATTGTTCCTTGTGTTAATTGCCAGATGTGAGAAAAAGTTTAATTTACGTAATTTTTTAATCTGTGGTGTCGAGATTTGGTCAAGTACACTGGGGTCTGCTTAAACTGAAATCTGTTTTTTTTTATAGTAGAGGGTTTTACGGCACTCACAACTGCATAAGGTCATATGAGCGCCAAAACTGAAATCTGTGGGACTGCAGGATTTTATTCCAGATTAGCCAGGTTTTTTATTTTGAAAGGTGGCACAAGTAGAATTTAAAAAAGAAAATGTGGGAATTTTTTTTTCCAATTAACTGTTGATTTAGAAAGAACCATGTTCGGTTTAAGAGGATTCCATGGTATTTCATTTTCTGTTTTTTTACCCAATATTTTTACCTGTAATGAAATCTTTTTAAGAATGTGCAGTGACAGCACTTTTATAATCAGTGAGATATATAGGTTTTAATTTTTTCTCAGTTTTCTCAATTTTTTAATTTTTTTGTTTGTTTGTTGCAGTTGACCCCCAGGATGCCCCTGATTATTATACTGTCATTCAAACTCCAATGGATTTCTCCACTATGAGGAAAAAACTTGAAGTAAGTCTTTCTTGGCTGCTTTTCTAGATAATGAAGTGTATGCAGTTTAATTCTATTCGTGTATAATGTTATCAGCAAAGCTCTTGTCTTTTCCTATAGGTGAAAGATACTTAAGGAACTGCCAAGAACTTTTTTTGTGGTCCATTGCGCTTTGTTGAGTCGTATAATAACGTATGTTAAATACCTTACTCATGAATGTTTTTTTTCTTTAAGTACAGCAGCAGGTGTAAAAGGCTAAAAGGGTATGCATATGATGTAGGATATTGATCTCTGACATATTGTGCGAGATTTTGCATTGCAAGCGAGGAGATGGTAAATCATTGTCCATTTGTGTTGTAATGTTGTCTGGCCCGTCAGAAACATGCTCAAGTGGGTGGTTGGCGGGTGCTCTGGTGTGGTTTGCTTTTTCTTTCCTATTGAACATCTATCGTCTTTATCTCCCCTCCTCCTTTTCTTGTGTTTGTTACTCTCTTGTAACACCTCTAATCTTCGGCACTTATATGACCTTATTGTGTTGCAAATGCCGTAAAACATTTACTAAAACTAAAAACATGCTCAAGTGGACAAGAGAGATATAGTCCGCTGTCCTCCTCATGTGATTCTGCTCATGTGGCACAGTCTCTTTGGCATGGAGGATGGGGGGAGTATCTTCACTCAGCTGTTACTTCCTTCGTTTTGTGTGAATCTGTTTTTGAGCTGATCTGTCAACCAGTTGGGTTTTTTTGTTTTTTGTTTTTTTAATGTATGTGCTTTATACGCCTCTAGTGGCACAATTTAGATCATCTTTGGAGGTGGGCTTCTGACCCTGCCTGTCAGGGCCGACCCATGCTGAGAGGGATGCAACATCCCAACGGAAAGACGAGGATTCTAGATAAAAAATTTCTCCCAATTTGGGAATCGAACCCGGGTCTCTTGTGTGCAACAGCGAAGTGCCTAAGCGCTACTCCTCAGACGGCGATAACCTCTTGGTGTCAAGAAGGTCTTTCGTTAATTGTATAGGTTAAATGCTCCTATCAATGTTGTAGAATTATTTAAGAGCCAGATGAATTTCTCCCCCTCCCCCCCGTTCTTTGTGTCCATCTGTCGTTCTTCTTCATTGAGTTGAATGACCAACCATCACTGCATCAGTGTACTTCCCTTTACTCACTTTCAAACTGTCCCTCAAAACTCATCCAGAAGCAAAAAATTTCAAGAAGTGTTTTGCCGTTTTGTCTGATGGTTTTGTCTGCCGTCTTGTTTCCCCCTCAGAATGGCCAGTACAGCTCATTCGAGGAGTTTCAGGCGGACATGGAACTGATCCGCACCAACTGCTACCTGTACAACAGCGAGGGCACCAAAGTGCGCTGCGACTGCGACGAAGTCATGACCTTCTACAGGTCGGAGCTGGCCAAACTTCAGGAGAAGCAAGCTAACAAGGTACAATGCCTGGATCATTTATTGATTTTCTTACTATATCAGTAATATTGAGTTCTGTCATTTATAAGATCAGAATTACTCTTAATTTGTTTCTTAACCCCTATCTAGTGAGTAGTATTCCTATAGCTGGATTACCAGTCAGGACTGTCCTTGGCCGTTGCCAGTTTTTGCTAGAAAAAACACGTACGGTCAAACCTTATTTTATTGCCCTCTCTCATACAGCCAGGTGTTACCCCTGTGGAGGCATAATGCAGAAAAGCAGAAGAATGTTGTATCCATTTTTTTAAAAATGCTACTGTTCACATAGTTATATATTTATTATTTTGTGTTATGCTAAGAGCCTATTTTTAATTCTGGTAAAGAGAAAATTCTGTGTGCCGTATAATTTTTTTACAAATTGAGTTTCAAAATGAATTTCTAAGCTTTTTGTAATCCATTTTCTTTCAGACTTTCATGCCGAACTCTTCACCCTTGAAAAGACCACGAGTGGAGGAAAAGAGCAGCCAAAAACTTTGATCAAAGTTTTGGATATCATAGTAAAAAATTCTAACCCCACCATTGCCTCGTGACGTACCTGGTTCATCGCACAAATGCGTAATTTTTAGCTTATAGCTGTACCATGGACATCGTGGAAGTTGACAAAATTTGCCGTTCCTAGTTGCCTATAAGACCTTACATGTATGTGTCGCAAACCCTCTGCCTTTGATTCTTCTGTACGGAGATTTAGCCACAAGCACAGCGTTGATTCATGTAGGGGAATAAAGTGTGCATATCAGTACCAAACTTGCTAATCCTACCGTTGTTTACTGCTAGGCTTGCAGACAATCAATAAACACAGGTCTAGTCTTGTTGACAACCACATGCTCTCGTGAAACGTAAACACCAAAATGACTTTAAAAAGGCAGAAAATTCCATCATGTTTTGACTTATTAGATTTGCAAGTCTTCTCGAAATTTTGAGTAAGATAGCCAGGGAATAAAAGGAATGAGGAAAATAACACTGTCGAAGGCCAGGGGTCCAAAATATGTCACAAGTGGGCTAGATCTCGACCTTGAGTCCACTAACTCTGAGACATGAGACCGCTGTCCCGGCTAAAGATCTTACTGGAAAATCAGCGCTGACAGTAGGAACTCACGCCCCCCCCTGGCAACGAAGGGGTTGTTGTAATCCAAGTTTTAGATGTCTAGACACTTGTGAATAAATTATAAAACTCTTTCATTGCTAGTATGAATGCCATAATATTTTGTTTTAGATGGTGTGATTGAAAGGTACAGTTTAATTTATTCCTAGAGTCTAGAGGCTGTCAGTTCTGTGTTGATCTGCATTTATTTTGTCTCGGTGTCTTAATAAGGATAGCTTGCTGCAGTGAATGTTGATTCAGATTCTCTGCCTTGTCTGCTTTTGAGAATGGAGTGCATGATCTCTACTATGCTGTAATAATATTGATACTTGTAATGGCATTTCCAAACAGTATGAGAGAAAAAAGTGTTTTCATGTTCAATTTGATTGTCTAAATAATTTTATGCGGGGAAATGAGCCTACTACTATAGGAAGGGCAGAGCTGCTGTTGATAAGGTGCAGTTAAAGCTTTGAAATGAATAGAACTTGCATGAGTATTTATTCTTGTGAAAAATTTCTCTTGGGGTCTTGTTACCAAGCTCAAAGCTTCACATTTATTTTCCAGTAGTTTTCTGGCTGGGTATTTACTATCTAGTATGGTTGTTTGTTGATTGTAAATTCTTCATGAAATGTACTTATATTTTTAGCTAGGGTCGAAAATAATTTTGGATTTTGCTACTGTACAGTTTATGTAAATATGAATCCAACATGTGAATGACCACCCACTGCCCCCTTATCATTGTATCTACATAATAATATACTCATTACAGCAATTGCATTTCATTGCGTTTGTGAATTGTGAATAACAGTCTTTTTCTACTATCATAATTATGTTGTTTAGTAGATTTGTGTTTATAGGTCTAGTTTGTTGTTCCGTCTGGAAGACATGGATGTTTGGAAGGTGCTGCTTTTATAGTTTTTTTTACTTTTAAAAATATCTCTCTTCCATTTCTGTCTGTGCTGCTTTTAGTTTTTACTTTTTAAAATGTCCCTCATCCATTTCTGTCTGTCTGTCTTGTTTCTCTTTCTTTTTCCCAACTCTCTAAATAGCTGTAAGGCCTCTATCGCACTACATCAGTTTGTCCCTGGACAGACCCGTCTGGATCTTTGAATTAGAGTATAATGTACCGCACCTACTGGGACGGGACATTCTTGTCGATTTGAGTCCCGAGCAGTTGTGAATTGCTACAAAATCGGTGGGACAGGACTATCCCAGTCCCGGGGTAATATCGTCTGTGATTATAGAGAAATATAGCCGCTTACCGCATTAGGACAAAACTGTACCAGACTTGGTGGCGCCTGCCTGTTTACTTTTAGTAAGAGTATTACGGCACTTGCAACACAATACTAAGGTCATATAAGTGCCGAAGATTAGAGGTGTTACAAGAGAGTAACTAACATAAAAAAGGAGGAGAGATCAGGACAATAGATGTTTGGTAGGAAAGAAGGAGCAAACCACACCAGAGCACCTGCCAACCACCCACAAACACTTTCCACCTTTCTCTATCCGGGGCAAGTCTCTTGATGTTGTTCCATGTCTTTCCACTTCTCTGTTAACCTATTTCTGTGATTCTTCTTCATCTTCCCTACGCGATCTTTGTGGATTAAGTTTATTCACATCTCGTAAAGGGGGCTCTCGTGGCCGAGAGGTTAAGGTGTTGGCCTCTCATTCAAAGGTCCTGGGTTCGAATCCGGGTAGTGACCTAAAAATTTTCTTCTCTAAATTTGTCTCCTTTCACCTCCTTTCCTGCTCTCCAGCAATGTTCTTTCGTCTGCTTTCGTCTCCTCTTTCTGCCCCTACTCCCTCATCTCCTTTGCCTCCCTCCTCTGGGCTCCTGATTCTTTCTACAGCCTTTCTACTGCTACTCCTTGGCCTCTTCTGACTGCTGTCTTTTAGCCACACCCCTGATCTTCTGGTAGGAAAGATCTACACCTAGCCTTCTCGGACAAGGGCGAAAAATCTCGGAGGGCCCGTGTGCAAGTTGCGCACGTTAAAGATCCCTTGGTGGTCTAAAATCGATAAGAGTAGGCTTCGGCCGCCTCCCGGGCAAAATTCAAAATTTCCTACCAACTGAAAAAGTTTAGTGTGTCCCGCGCGCTCATATGACCTTATGCAGTTGCGAGCGCCATAAAACACTTACAAAAACAAAAACATCTCATAAGACATTCATTCAGTATTCGGACAAGGGCGAAAAATCTCGGAGGGCCCGTGTGCAAGTTGCGCACGTTAAAGATCCCTTGGTGGTCTAAAATCGATAAGAGTAGGCTTCGGCCGCCTCCCGGGCAAAATTCAAAATTTCCTACCAACTGAAAAAGTTTAGTGTGTCCCGCGCGCTCATATGACCTTATGCAGTTGCGAGCGCCATAAAACACTTACAAAAACAAAAACATCTCATAAGACATTCATTCAGTATTACGGTATTACATAACACACATCAGTGTGATGACAAGGGGGTCTGTTACAGCCTGGACTGCACCATTTGTCTACTACATTCCTGAAGGGTGGGCACCTACATGTCCCCGTAGTTTTATGCACCCCGCATAATTTAGCAAAATGTGATCATTTTTTGCATAATTTATGATTATTTTCCTTTATCATTCTTTGTTAGAATTAACAGAATTGCACAATTTTACATTTTTGGGGCTCAGTTTGCAATAATTTCAGAATTTTTCTTGCATACAACGACGGGGACACCTACATGAGTGTGTGACAAAAAGTCAAAATGATGAACAGTTTCAGAAGTGTCTGCATTGTTTCTTATTCTGCAAGTCTTAAACTAGTGTCAGTATTCAACCAGATATTGGTCTCCGTTGACATTCTAAGCATCAACCTTACTCTTAATCCTTATTTTCAATTTGATATGGATTGAGAAGGAGGCGATGAGGGGGAAAGAAAGAAGAAAATAGCACACACACACATACTCAAACACATACACACAATAAAGAGCAAACTTTTTTCTTATAAGTGCCTAGCTTTATTCTATGATGATGAGCTTCAGTCAACCTATTTTTTAAATTTTCATTACAATAACAATCCATTGCACAAAAAAACCAAACAGTTACAAGTACATCATATAATAATAATAATAACAAATAACAACAACAGCAGCTATCACATGCAATCGCAATCGTGTAACAAGCCCCCCCCCCCCCCCACCCCCAGAAAAATGCTTCAGAAAAACGAGTAAACAGACAGCTTTGAAAGCATGGCCTACCTGCCACTTAGTAATGATTGTCAAATGTCAGTGCCAGCTTTTGCAGACTTACCCATCCATTATTCCAATGTTTAGTTCTCATGCATGCATTACAGAGACATCAATCTGAGGCGAAGGTGCCAAAAGTCTTGAGTAAGAATTATACATGAATTCATTCAAATTCAATAAATACATCGTCCAGCATAAAAATGTATGGTAACTTAAAATTAAAATGGGACACAGAAAAATAAAGATAAAAGGCAAATTTATTTTAAAAATTCCATTTTCATCATTTTCTATGTTGTCCCTTTCCCTTTTTGGTAACCAAAATAAATCATATATATACAAGTACACATGAAGCGTATTATTTTATAAAACAAAAGGAATTTTAAAGTCTTAAAACATTTTGTTCAACAAGTTTACACATGTCCATTCTGAATCACCTTGCCTTCTAACAGTATTTTGAATTTTCTTTTTATAAAAAACCCCAAAAGCACCCCATCCAAAAAAACAAACAACAACAAAAAAAACCCTCCAAACAAACCCACTAGATCTAGCTCAGATGCCCACCCGAAGAAATGGTCAGAAAATTTAAAAAAAAAAAAAGACTGACATTTTAAAGAAAAAACATTTCCACTGTCAGTGTCAGCATGCACACAAAATTGTCTATTGTGAATCCTTGAAGTCGAAGCATCAGACAAAGCAAACAATAGTTGTACCTTGGACAAAGCCTTGGATAAAACTCAATCTTCTTCGTCCAAGATGAACATTCAACCACAGATTTTAACGCCTAAGGACCTCTGATGGCCAGAGGAGTTTAGACTTAGACCCCCTCTCCTCAACACTCACCAACAATGAGAATGCATGTGTGTACATGTAGGCCTAGCTCTGCACATAGTTTGAAAAAATGCTTTCAAACAAACATGTTCTATTTTCTGTATCACACCCAGAGTCTCCAAACATCTACTAAGATTTATGTGAGGCAGCGTGGTGGAATCAGGCTCTCGTCAAAATAATCAAAGTGAAGAAACTGGCATTTTTCCGCAGATTTGAGAAATTTTATTGAATTTTTTGTTTTTGGCTCAACACCTTTCATGCCTATTAAAGAACTCATTTCTGTGTGGATTTGACTGAAAAACGTGGATTGAAGGCACAAAAAATGTAAATTTTCAGTTACCACGGACTCTTATGCTAAGGAAATAACTAACTTTTGGCAGCCTTTTTCTCATTAATTTTACTTCTGAAACCAGGTGACCCAACCTCCTTCATTTGGATATATCTCGACTTGTATTTAAGATAAATTGATATTTTTTTCATCCAAATAAAGACAAGTAAACAAGCTTTAAGATGATACCAATAACTCTACATGCCCAAAAACTGACGAGAGCCTGATTCCACCTCGTCATGCCACAAATAGTATGGTAATTAGAAGTTAACACACTATCTGTCTGTCTGTTAGTGTTAGGCTGATGACATTTTGATAATTTTTTTAAAAGTCTGGCTCCAAAGAGGATTTCCTGAAAGAGCCATATATCACACCATGAAGAAAGTGAAAGTAAAAAAAACATGGATACGGTAAGTCAGTACGGTAACAAAACCCAAACCTGGGAGGGAGAACTAAAACAAAATACTGCAAATACTGTAAGCCAACAATCAAACAACATCGGCAATAGAAAATAAGTTTGACACTGACAATTTTCCAATTCACATACACATATACACGAGTGGTCTACACGACATTGCAGATCTTTTCTTTTTCTTTTTCATTGGATTTTTTTCTACTCATGGAGGACAACGGGTCACAACAGAATGTGTCATTAATGTACAAGTGTGTCACGACGCGGTGGAATCAGACGCTCTTCAATTTTTGGGCATATATGGGGTTATTGGTATATCACCTTGAAACCTGTTGATTTGCCTTGCTTTTGGTGAAAAATATACCCGTCTACGTTGAATAGAAGTCAAATTATTTGCAATTGAAGGAGGTCAGGGTCGTCTAGTTTCAAAGGTGAAATAAGCGAGAAAATGGTCACCAAAGTTTGGTAATTACCATAGCTTGAGAGTCTTTGAAAACTGATAATATTCAGTTTTTGTGCCTTTAATCAATGTTTTTCAGAAAATCCACACAGAACGTTGCTTTTAAACAGACATAAAAGGTATTGAGCCCCCAAAAAACTAAAAATGAGAAAATTTGACAACGTCCAGAAAAAATGCCAGTTTCTTTGATTTCATTATTTTGACGAGCGCCTGATTTCACCATGATGCCTCGCAAATGATTTCTAACAAATAACAATAACATAACAACGTCATGTCACCACCAACAACTTCACACAATACCACAAATTATAACAGCATAAGGACATCCTGTCACAAAATCTTGTTTATAATCATTTTTGAAATTTTTTTTTTAACATTTAAACTTTAAACTCAAGCTTTTTAATATAGGCAGAAAAACAATTGGCGGCAATGGAAATGTTAAAAAAAAAGAAAAAGCAGGGATGGCAATATATGCTTCCGAATCACGTTAATAATAGGCTACCTCAACAACGGGGAAAAAGTTGCTTCTGCTACTTTTAATATAACTATTATAATCATCTAGATGTACATGTATAAAGCATTGTAACTGTGTGACCA